ATCAATATCTTATTAAGAATTGCATATTCAGAATTTTTATAAACTTAATTAGGTAATATGGAAAGGGATCGTTCAAGTATTACGTAAGCAATTTATTACAATTATTACCCCCCATCCCCCTTGTTAGCAAAAGTAAGCAAGCTCTTACTCCCTATCCCCATGCTTACGTAAACATTTTGCAATTAATGTAAAAAATAAAAATACTACCTATGACGTAATCATCATCCAGACTCCCCTGCTCCCCACGTCAACGCAAAATAAGCAAATCAACAACCACCCCGCCCCCCTATATGTTTACGTAATACTTGAACGGCTCCAAAGTTTAATTTTTTGTAATATCTAGAAGTTCAAGATTTTGTCATACGATAGAAGAAACGATACATTTTTAACAAAAACTTTGGGCAGCACTTTCATATATATGACTTATATCTTGAAAAACAGATTTCTATCTCGTTTATATTTAGATATTTCAAATTATTTCGACAATAACTGCTACTAGGTCTAGTAACTTTGAGTTTGTTTGCAATCATGATTTTCATATTAAATTGTGCACATTTCCTAAAAAGAATCACGTTACCCGTACAGAAAATTTGCTTCTATAAAAGATCGAAGAAGGAGCACCCCTTCGATATAATGCAGTAAAATGGAGTAACCTGTTAGAATACAATATTATATATAGAATGCGGACCTGATGAGGATATATACCCAGGAGTGAAAGAGAGGGTATCTCCATCATGGTATAAAACAAAGAAGTTTTAATAAAATCATTCTATTTCGACTGACTGCACAAAGGAATAATATACTTTGTATTATTGTATAAATGGAATACTTTTATGTAAATATAATATTATCAAAGTAAAAAAAAAATATTTTACCATTAATATTGGTTATGGGCCCAGCAATAACCCATTGGGATGAACTTCATCACGTCATAAGAATTCCAGTACTTTTACTGGAGTTCTAAAAATCAGTTCACTAGTTTATATAAATTTTTTTTCTGATTACTATTTAATTATTGTTTATATTTAACTATTGTGTAAAATACAACAGAAAATAAAATATCTATATAAATTTGATTTTTTATTATTTTTTATATGAAATGTGCAAGATTTTACAAAGCGTGATTTTGCAGAGCTTACAAAAAGTCGCGTATTTTCGTAGTTTCAGAAAAAGTGGTCATTCATGAAACACTCTTGAACAAAAAGTTCGAACAACTCGTGTTTAAAAATGGTTGCAAGTTTCACAAAGAAGCCAAACTATAGAAGTCCGAACTTCCTAGTCGCCGTCGTCATCAATTTATTTCGAACAATCCTGCGAGAAAAGTTCTTGACTGTGATATATGTATAATATATATATATATATATATATATATATATATATATATATATATTTACTAGCAAACCCGACAACCTCCGTTTCGCCACCAGATGGTCTCGTGAGAAAGATGAAGAAATTTTTTGTTTGTTCTATATTTGAAAAGGAAAAATTTGATTTTATTACACAACAGTAATGCATTTATTTCGATTACAAAAATAAAGTGTTTTTTTAGTTAAACTTCTCTAAGTAAATGAAAGTGAATTCGCAAATTATCCGTTTTATTGAAGTGCTCTTTGGTAAACCACATTTTTTCTGTCGTTAATCGGTCTGACGTTAACACAAACAAAGCGGATGGTTTCCCAACTCGTGAACAGGCAACGTATAACTGCCCATGTGAAAAACAATGATTTTCTAAATAATCTATTTGAATTTATCCCGCAAACACTGAGCGATTGGCCTTGCGACTTGTTATTGCGAACGCAATGCGAACTGGAAATTGCAATCGTTTGAAGTCAAACTGAAGACCAGTCGGAATCATTGTATGTCACCAAATCGTCAGCAATTTTTGATTGAATGGTGAAATTCAGTGCGTGTTCATCATTATTCTTTACGGCAAGAATTGCTCGTTGACTTAACCAAGCATAATTCTGATAATTCTAACTAATGTCATTATTCGAATTTTTAATTACGGTGCGTGAAGTTCCAGCAATTTGCATTAAGGCACGATGCCATGCACCACTAATTTTCTTAGCTGTAAACCTTGCGGAGCCCGAGACCTTTCCAACGAATGTAACATTGTCGAAATCGATTCGTGCGTTCTGGAGTTACATCGTCAGGAAGGAAAACCCGACTTATTTTATATTTATGTATATGTAGATTAAGTTACTGATAAAGGTTTGAACTTATCTTATTTTTCCAACTGAATATCATTTAAAACGTAAATTTTGCTATAAAAATTGTATAAAATTTTAATACATACCACCATTTGGTATATAGCATCGACGATATTGTACATTTCGTCTCTTGTTATAAATCCATCATTATCCACATCATAAAGTCGGAAAGCCCCTGAAATTGCACATCATACATGGATACAGTATAGCATTATATTACACCATTATATAGATATATAATAACATAATAATTTTTTTTTTAAATTAGTATTTTTGCTGCAATAGTCAATAAATTTAGATACTTATTAGAAAAATTCATTATTCAATGTAATAAAATAAGAAGGAATTAAAAAGCAAATTCCCAGGTAACTATGTTAAAATATAAATCCAAGAAACAAAAATTATAAAAGTTTACAAAAGTATACTCTGATAGTAATAATAAAAACATATTAATCATAAAGGATCTAAATATGAAATTGATAAATTACATTGAGTCACCGGAAATGTTTGTTTTTGAGGATTGATGTGGTTTAAAAAACCCTCTTTAAAATCTCCTCAAGCCAGACGTTCAGGATTTTTTTACTTACTATGATACGGAATCAAGAATTATTTATAATGTTTTATAAATCAATCATAAAAAACATAAAAATACTTACAATGCAGTTTTTCGTCCAGATTTCCACGGGACGTGACCGATAGTGCTCTGATGAATTCTTCAAATTCTATAGAGCCATCCTAAAAAAATATGTTTATTAATTGATAATTTTATTAGAAATATTTTATTGATTGATGTATGGTTGTATAAAATAGATTATATCATATTTTCTTAAGCTATTTCTGAATCTTTTTCAGTATTATGTGGTAATAAAAAAAGAAAAATAAACTAATACTCACATTATTTTCATCAAAAACTCGGAAGACCAATGAAGCAAATTTGCTTGGATCACCTTGCGGAAAGAACTGTTTGTATATTTTGATAAATCCCTGTAATAAGTAAATATTTAGAAATTTCACTTTGGTTTTAAAACAGGAATATTAATACTACATTTATTTAAAATTTATTTTAAGTATTAATTTTATAGCTGTATTAGTCTTGTCAGAGGATTTGTCTACATATTTTTTTTTATTTTATATTTCTATTGGAAACATATTTATGACCTATATTTTCAAGGTTTGAACTTTAGTTTTGGGTTCGATGCCCACCTGGCTTATCTTGATATCAAGCAGTAGTGATATCAGAATCTAGTATAAGGTATAAAGTGAAAATATACTTTCGAGGCATAGCCACAATATATAATATATATATATATATATATATATATATATATCACGTTGCTATCAGAAAAATACCTAATATTCATCAGAAAGAGAATCGTCAACCATTGGATTACCTTTATAGCAATAATAGTCTAATAATAAGGAATTTCATTTTCAGAGCTCACAGAACACACAGTTCTGATTTCTATCCAAATAGTAATGATAATCATAATAAAAGATATAATACTATTTACAATAATGAATTAAATTCTTGTACAAATAAAATTAGCTTGAATACTTATTACATCATTACTTACTTGTTCTGTGAGTAGACCATTTGGACAATCTTTCAAGAAACCTTTATGCCTGAAAGTAAATATATTCAAATTAAATGCTGTTATCTTATGATATTGCTAATGAGAAAATCCTCGAATCTTTTTGTTGAATTATATAATTCCATTATTTTCTCAAGACAGAAAAGCTTGGGTAATGATAATTGTTTTAGGGATAGTATCATCTTCACATTTTAATGCAATTTGTATTTTAGTGTAAACTATGTGATACCATAAAATATTTATAAAATGTATTGATAGATTTAGTAAAATTAAATATCTATCAGTATAACTAATGTGCATTAAACCCTCTTGGATATTAGAAGTGTGTCAATATGTTAATGTTGAAATACAAAATCTTGCAGTTAAAATAAATGAAGTAATAAAGGGTAGAGTCAAATAAATTGAAACAAAGTGTATTTTGGCACTTGTTGTAAAGGGTCTATAATATTTTAGGATGTTTTTGACTATGATCTGTATTGCTATGCAAAGTTTAAATAAAATGGTCAAAAAAAAGTTTAACAATAAATTACGAAGAAACTACTTAGCCGATCTCAGGGATAAACTAATAAAATTGAGTCCTTATTATCGAGTTTCATCAAATGGCTTTTAAATTTTTGAAATTGGTGCAGACGTTTTATAAACATGTTCACAAAATGTGAAATTTTGTCTCAAATACAAACATACATGCATATATGTCTGTACCTTTATGTTACGTAGTTATAGAATTTATTAAAACTCTCCTTCGATAATTCAGGTTGTTGGGACATAATTTAACCCTTGTAGCTGTGGACTGTATTAAACACTGATTTGTTTATATATTATGTATTTGTTGCAGTTCTAATTACAATTACTGATTTGTTACTAAGTTATAATGAAAGATAATATATTTATTTTTATTGGTTATTTACATGTTGTTAAGCGGACTTTACTTCTAGAAGTGAACAACTAGTTCAATTAAAACACTCTGCTACCCCCTCTACCAGGGATAGCAACCATTCCGTGTAAAGCTTAATGCCCTGAAGTTTGTCACCTTCATTGCCAATATAATGAAACGAAAAGATGTCCAAACAATGTCTAATAATCATTTTTTACCGCAAATCATATATTAAGATTTTATACAAAGCAACTTTCGTTTCACCTTTGCGCATTATCAAATGCTCTATAGAAACTCTAGTTAAAGATGAAGATTTGCCAAAATAATTTACAAGACTATTGCATGATATAAAATCTATGGAACTAACATGTTTATACCTAGTTTGATCGTCATGGTTGTCATGAATTGAAAAAACAGGTATGAAAACATTTTTGGGTCTTTATTTAATACAGATTCATGAAACTCCTTTTCCTTAAAAATTTGTATACTTATGGGTTTGTCTCAAAATGTAGAAATTTCTTAATTGGATTTCCGAAACCACTGGACTTGCCTTCCCCAAAAATTTCAATTCTTCCACTTTTGTCTCCCCCCCTGCCTTTGCCAAAAACTAATCAGCACGTTTCTCCCACCAATAGACTCGAATGTTTTTTGAAACATTGAAATCGGTTACATCCCCACACGTTTATTTTTTCTAAGGTTTATCGAAATATTCAGAAGGCTATAAAACGTAGAAATATGCAAAAAATTTCCCATTCGATTTTTTTGCGATTACTATAACATACCCTACGGGAAGTTGAAATGATAGTCACCTTAATTCAACCCATCAACTCTAACTATTTAAACGAGAGGTTGAAGTCATTATGTTTTCTAAGTGGAACACTTGACTTGAACATTATCCCGTGCTTGAGATTCCATCCACTTGAAACTTTCAGAGAAACATGAGCAATTGTGCGAATATGGGTGCGAAGTCTATCCTGTAATCCTCCCTCTATATATTGTGGTCTCAACTTTGACTGGAGAAAAGGGCACCTTAAAGCATTTATTGCAGATTTAATGCTACGGTTCGGAACCGTATTATTTTTATGTTTTTTCGATAAACTTTGGTTTTATCCCAACTCAATATTATTTGGCCATAAGTATTTTGATAAAGAAAAATATGGGCTGATTATTGTCGACGCGTTTGCGAAGTAAAATCGAATTCTAAATAGTTGGAAAGATACTGCCAAAATCTGAAAAATAAGTCAACTAAAATGATTTCATTATTTAGCATCCATTAAGAATCAATAACTTTTTTTTAATTATATTAGCTCTAGTAGATACGCCACTGGGGGTATCTACTAATTTGTAAACAACTTGTCAGCATTCTCTGCTAAATGTAATTATATATACAGATTGCAGAACAAAATTTAAATTAAAATAATTAAAAAAAATTATCAAATAATTTACATTATTGTTTTTATATAATTTTTTTTTTTTTAATTAACTTTTTATTTTAAAAACTAATGTCTTGGAAAAGAAGAATAATTAAATTAAAAGAAGAATGCAAAGAATAATTAAATCTACACTCCTGTAATAGAAAAAATATAATAAATCCAGAAATTTGTTTCAATTTTAATTTTTATGATGAATTTATAATTTTCTTTAAAATTAAATTTATAAATTTATTTATAAATGACGAATACGATAATAAATGAAATTGATATTTATTTTAATGAAAATATTAAATCTTAAATTTTATTGAGTTATTAATATTAATGAGTTATAAAAAATTTTATTATTGGGACATAAAGATTTATTTCTTGATACTTCAGTCGCATGCTCAATTTTATTTTTGTGAGCGAGTTATAAAATTTTCTATATAACCCAGATTAAATTTAATGACTAATTTATAAAATTAATCTTAAACTTATGAATAAAAAAGTCCAGTCATAATAGCTATAGTCATTCATTAAAAGTGCTGTTTTAATTGATTTTTGAAGATATATAAAATTATAAAAAATGAAAAATCAATGAAGAATTATTCGTACCTATTGTAACTTTTTTTCAAATAACATATAATAGTTTGAGACTTTTTAACATCTCGTAAGATAAGTTAATCGCAAAAAATCCAAAATAGATTTTTTTTCATATCGTTTCAAAAGCTTCTGAACATTTTGTCATACCTTAGAAAAAATGAATGTATGTGTTTGTGTATATATTATGTCGTTCGTGTGGGTGGGTAGTATATATTTAGATGAAATTTTTCGTCCATGATTTTGAGATCACGGATCAACCAATTTGAATGATTTAAAAAAGCAATAGATTCCTATTGACTGGGAGACATGCTGATTAGCAAAGGCAAAATATGGCAACTCAGTTTGAATAATTCAAAATAAAATTCACTTTTATTGGGGAAATGAGGAATAGATTACATTATTGGAAAGGCAGGTCCAGCATTTTCGATGACCCAATAAAAAGATTAAAAAAAATGCTATTTGGTGGTCAAAAATGATCATTAGGCGTGCATATCAAATTATCAGATATTATAACAATAAGTACAAATTTTGTTAACATTTCTATGGGTTCCATACCAAGATGTAATATAATAATGTTCAACTTTAAAGACTGCAACACAACAAAGTTAAAACAAATAAAATTCAGAAAAAAAGTTATCAACATTTTCAAAAAAAAAAAAACGATGCGGGAAGTTTCAGCACTTTTTTTTATTATTTAACTTTTAGTTTATTGAATTAATAAAATAAATTATCTTAATTGAATTAATTACAGTAAAATACAACTATTAAACAATATTAAGCCTAACATTAGTAATATCTAATACAATAACTTGAAGAAAAAAAAATGTAATAAGATACAAATAGTTTAATTGTTGTAGATCTTGAGAGTCTTCTTATGATAAAAAAATCTTTTAAAAAAATCCTTTGCCTTAGGCATGATGCCATGCACCACTAGCATCAAATAATCATTTGTTTGTTCTTTAATGGACATTTGCATTTGTATGTATGTAGTCAACCAATTAATATTCCGACTTTGTTACATCTTCTTTACAACAGCCATTTACAATTTATAATAGCGCCTGGCAAACTTATTGCAAACACGATCATTATTTCTTCACCGCAATTCCCTCTCATTTGTATTGGCTAAATAATTCTTGGGGTTAATTCCGTTCGACAGAAGACAATGAATAAAACAAAGTCTGACATCTAATTAACTTCAATGTAGACCTATTCTGCACCTTAGTATTCCAGCACGCAAGTCGATTTGAATTCTCGTTATATTATTAATATAACTCAATTGAAAACAACGTAGCTTAAAAAGCCATAAATATATCGCTGGAGAACATTACTTAAGGGAACGATCACGTTTCACATTTTACGTCATCTTTTATATTTGGTATATAATAGACAAGCTACGAAAGCTCTTTGTAAGAAGCTTCCTTATTTTTTACTTTTATTGTCTTGCTGGTACATCCTTATTTGAGGAAACTATACATCTTCTTTAATCTAATAAAGTCTTACAACGTTTTAAAATAAAAAAGTGAAATAATTTTATGTTTAATTTAATTAATTTATTATTTTAATTTTCAATTAAAAGAGAATACCCTACCAGGAACACTAATAAAATTGTATTTGATCCCGATCTGCAAACAAAAATAGAAATTTATTCTCGTTCAATCTAAATTTCGATATGTTATATTTAATTTTAACGTAGGCATAATCAAATAGTATTTTTCATGGATATCTTCATTTGATCAACATTTCAATTCTGGGTCATTAATACTTTAAACCATGAGTAAAAGATTTCTACAGTTGTCTTTATGTAACGTAGTTATAAAATGTATTACAACTCTCCTTCGATACTCAGGTTGTTGGGTTATAATTTAACCCTAGTAGCTGTGGACTGTAAAACACTGATTTGTTTGTATATTATGTATTTGTTGCAGTTCTAATTACAATCACTGATTTGTTACTAAGTTATTTGTTACTAAGTTAAGCGGACTTTACTTTTAGAAGTGAACAACTAGTTCAATTAAAACACTCCGCTACCCCCTCTACCAGGGGTAGCAACCATTCCGTGTAAAGCTTAAAGCCCTGAAGGTTGTCACCTTCTTGGCCAATATAATAAAACGAAAATAAATAGTTTATAAAAACACATAATGATTGTAAAAGTTTACTTTCCTTATCTATTTAATCATATAAAAGAGTGAAAAAAAATAGAAAATGCTTAAAACATTAGTGCAGTAAAATAAAAGTAAATAGTATAGTAAAATAAAAATAAATAGTATTTAAATAGAATAGTAGCTTGGCCACTGGTACATTATTTGCCTATGTCATGTCCAATAATTTAAATTTCAGTTTTAAATCCAGGTCCAAAAAATTTAATCTAGATTATTATATGTATCAGTCACAACAAAAGCCCCGAAAATTTTTTTTTGTATAAAAATTCTAAAGAAAAAACGGTGAGGTGTAAGACCAAGTTAAATATGTGACGAAGAACTATGCTATAAAACAGATTGTTGGTAAAGAATTTACAAGTTTTGTGATTTCACTTCTAAATCTTTCAAACTTATTAAGATGATTCGGGAATTTTATAACTATTAAAACACCTATGACTATTAAGAAAGCTATGTTTATGTTTATGAAGTACATTATTATATATCAAACATTATATATTAATCATTATAGTTATTTTATAGGTGAAGTTCTATAGCATAGATTATTGTTATTAGTAAAAATAATTATCAATTAATTTATGGTATTTCACTATATAATTTCATATATTTTGAAAAAAATCATGTTTTTATAGATGTTATACATGATTGGATTATTGTTCTTAGGATTATATAGATTATTGCTCTCAGGAATCCAATTCAAAATTATTATATATATATATATATATATATATATATGTTGCATTTTTCTGGTTACAAAGAAACAATTTCTTTCTACAGGATTTTCGGCAAGGGTGGGAAAGGCAACATGTGTAACACGTGTAACAAATATTTGCGAGCAGGCCCCATAGCAAATAACCGAAAAGAAAGGAAAACACATAAAGCTGGAGCTTTCTAAGAGTCAGTATAGTAAAAATAAGACAAGGGGACAAACAAGAAGATATTGGTATGTTGATTTTTTTTTCAAAATGCATGCACGAGCTTTATCATACTTTCTGTCTTACGCAACAGCTTTTTACTAGCACACATAAAAAGCAATATGCCGATGATACGAACCCAAAAGTGTTATTAAGATCATGCAAATTGTCCAAAGAATGTGTTTTGCTTACACGTTTTAAAGATAAAGAAAACATTCATTTTTATTGTGCAACCACGTTTAAAACGAATTAGAGATGACTAATATTTAATTCTTACAAATATTTGTGTTAGTCGGCGTCCATTAATCATGTGATCGATTTTTTAAGAATTCTTGGACTTCCCATGGTGATATGTGGTGATATTCAAAATTACCCCCCTCCCCCACCAAACATTACGTGTAAACTTAGTTACGAAAAAAATTTGTAAAATTTTTTATTTTTCTTGAAAATATTTGGATAAAATAAATACACATGATATATTACTATACCGCTCCCTCCCCCATGTGATATTTCGTGATTTTTTGTCAAACCTCTCCTTCCCCGAAAAACTTCACGTGAATATTGAACGCCCCCTTACGAGGGCAACATTTTCAAATTTTGATTTTGACTTCAAACTACAATTTTATTTACCAAAAATTTCCTTTTTTTTCCAATCTGAATACGAAACAGAACAAAGAGATCAAATATTAAAAATTAAATAATTTTTAAGACAAAAATATTGTAAACCATTTTAAATAAACTTTATAAAATAATGTTCAGATTTTGAAACCAATATCACTTTCCCAGACCATCTTTGTGGGTTAGCACAAATTTACTATTTTTAATTGGGTTAAATAACTTAAATAACTCAAATTTTATTTGCTTGATTAAGATCATTTATTTTCTATAATGAGTAAATGTAATTCTATACCCGAAATATATATAAAATCGAATCTAATAAGAATCTTATGAGATTCTGACGAGAATCTATTAAGCATCCTACAACAATGTGAAGAGAATCTTAATATATAACCAATCCGTGACCATTGTAAGCATATGATATCATGTAAAATATTATCACATCATTAAATCGAATTCTTTATGCCCAAAAATTAAGTTTTTCATAATTTTATGCATATACACACACGTACACACACACACGCACACACACACACACACATATATATATATATATATATATATATATATAACTGAATTTGTTTTATTGAACTTACCATTGTCGAATTTCTTTTTCTGTAACTGAAACAAAAATATGAACAGTTAGTTGAAATTTACATATTATATAATACATATAAAATTTTCTAATTTTTTCAACATTTTGTTTGATTTATTTGAAAATGTTGAAAAAAAAATCATTTAAATATGATTTTATAGAACGGAAAGTATTAGTTTTTTGGCAAAATATGCTTCTCATTTAAAATTATATCTCATTTTTATAACAATTTTCAAAGTTTGCCTCTAAAACTAAGTTTTCAAGTTATAATTACATTAAAATACTAAATAAACATAAAGAATCGCTGCCATTGTACTATTAACAAATAATGTATCATAAGTCATCATTAATACATTATGATCATTATCAGTAAATTATGCCCGAATATAATTTCCCTTAATATTAATGAATAAGATCACATATGTAAAGCTCATACTAGGAAATTAATCAAAAATATTACACTTTATCATTCATATATAAACTATCCTAATACAATATTCTTGGAGTTATAACTGTATAATATCATACATATCATCCTACTTTTATACTCCTTGGATAAGGTTTTGAAAGGAAAAGAAAACTTGATCGAAAAAAAAATACAGATGATTGATAACCGATTGATTGATTGAATTGATAAACAAGACAAGAGGAAATATAGGCATTGAAAGCTGAGATATATATATATAATATATATATATATATATCTGAAATATATCCGTATATGTATATCTTTTGTGTAGACAAATGTATATACTTTTATCTTTTATACTGAACTGGGGATTTATGTGCCCTTTCCTGAAGTTAAACCCTTGTATGAGTGTAGGAGATTTAAAGCGTTTTTGCTTCTGAAAACTTTATGGTAACAATTCAGATTCTTTCACAATATTGGATTTAAATTGTTTTTATAACTTCTACACGAAAAGTAATTGCAACGATAAATATTCTTGCTTTCTAGCATATTATTTACTAAAATGTCTCTAGTATTTTTTTTTTATTGAAATGTTCAATAATAATATTGTTTCTTACATTAATATAATATAAATATTAATACTTCTTCACAATTTGAAGAGTGAATGCATTTGTGAAACTAATTGGCTATATTTTTAGGTTTTTGATAAATAAATAATATAAAGTCAATTTAAATGCATAAAGCACGATCGGTTAAATTAAACATTTATCAACTGGTTCGTGTAAAATATAATTGCAAAGAATAATTGAAATCGTGTAATTAAATAATCATTACAGGTAATGGACTAGTGAAATAATAATGGGTTCATGTTCAATTACTTCTCTATGTAATTAATAAAATCACGCGTCATATTTTTTTTTATTTATTTTTATAAAAGTTTACTATTTCATGATCGAATTTATGTTAAAGATTTTAAAAAATAATATCGAAAAATGGTGTTGTGGTTGAATTAAATTGAATGTTTGCATGTATTTTGCCACAAGTATGTATTTACGATCAATTATGATAACAGTAATGACCTCAGTAGTTATGGAACGCGTCGAAGCAATTATCTCAATAATTATTATAGTAGTTTAGCCATGAATAATTTAAATCAAGTGTATTAGTAAATACGTTTACGTACATCATGTGACAGATACATATGTGGGAATCAAGAATAATACTCTATATGTTTATAAAAGAAATAAATATGAATGTATATATACGTATTTATAAATATTTATATGCCTTATCTATTTTTCATTCAATAAGTAAGGGTTTGCTACCCTTAATTTTTTTTAAATTTTTTTTTGGTTCTATTTTTTATTTAATTTTTTTATTATTCTTAACTAAAGAATACTTTGGCCCTAATTTTTCATTGGTAACCCAATTATTTTTCATATAGTATAGATATATAAATTAATTATCGTCTTTTTGTGAACGTTTTTCACTGAATTTCGATCAAAATATTTATGAGCTTATAGAAAAGCATAAATATATTACCCCTTACTGCAAAATTTTCAATGCAATTCTTAGATATTGGCGACTAGATGGTTATCATCGATGAAACTAGATACATCAAATTATCGATCAATTCTCGGATAATCTCTGATTTACCGGATTATTCTAAGATACAAATATTTTCCGATGTGCTCAAATGGTAAATAGTTTCTGCAGAAGGAGCAATTTTAGCACAAAATGTAGAAATTTAATATCAGAATCTGGAATAAAAACTGAGGAAACTGGACAATTTTCTAGAGTTTTTGAAACAACGCTCGATTCGCTTAGTATGACACAAAATAATTCACAAATGAATTTAGTATTTTGTTTCGTAATTAAAAAATTAATGAATTGATGAATATATCTAGTAATAATACATAAATGTGAAACCTTGAATATCAAAATGTGCCAAATCAATTGCAATGACTATTAATATGCCCAGCAAGATTTATATGTGGCATGCGTTGCAATGGGCCAAGTAAATCACCATTTTAATTTGTGTTCGCTGCGCCTTTCACTTATAAACCATTTTCTTCTATATTCAGAATAATTAAAAATTAATTATTCATATTAAATAATATTCTAGAAATATTTACCGAGTTAGCTAATGTGTATAAACAACCCCTTCTTTCTAAAATACAATATTTAATTTTATACAATTATTTTTCTTACACAACTATATATCTATGACAAATAAGCGCGCACTGTTTTTTTCTTTTATTAAAATTTGTCATACCATATGAGCATTTATAACAAATTATATTTTGATGATAGTATAAAGATATTTAATAAAGAACGTAGAATAGCAATATATCAAGTTAATATTGTCATAAAAGGTACGTGTTGTATTTATTATATTATTCAAATTATGGCAGAATGCACATAAATTCCAGACACGTGGCGGTTATATATTTTTTTGTTTTTTTTTTTTAATTTTATTGGCCTCCGCTTTTACAGCATTTTAGCCACAGACATTATTCATTTTCTTCAATCATATTCTATACAATTCTTAAAGAGATATTTCTTATACATTCATCATAGATATACTATCTCTTCTTAAACTCCTAATCTTCCATCCAATTTTCATTCTGGTCTTGTTTCTCAATATGTTCTTCTCATATTCTAAACTTCTTCTTTCCTATTTACTTCAATTTTTTTCTTGTATTCTACAAATTAACAATTATTTGAAAGCGCCAGGAGTCGAACCATCGATCTCCGGCATGTGAGTCGGACATGCTACCTCTGAGCTACGTCCGCCACAGGTTATATCTTTAGAAATCCGGAATAGTTAAATAAAAAACCTTTTTCATTTTCTTAACGGCTTAAAGTATTTTCTTGGTGCAAAAGCATTGTTAAATTTGAATGTCAAATCAGATTATGTACTTTTATTTATTTTCTCTTAAAATATTTAAAAATGTAAAATTCACTTCAAAGATATTCACTTTTCAGATAAAATATAAACGAAAATCCGTTTATTAAAAAATCATTAAATTCATAAAATATTCAATATTATATGATATTGTCAAACGATTATAAAACGCCATACACGAATTGTATTTGATACTTTTGCTCATAAATATTCTATTTAATCGATATCCAGGTTCTGATATACCCTTGACTAATAATAATTTAAAAGTTTTGTTTTCTGAGAATTTATATACTCGCAATATTAAAAATTTTAAAAGTACAAAAATTATTGCTGGTTCGAATTCATTTGATTGAAAAAGTACGTTAATTACATTTATTAAAATTCAAATAATCTCGGCTAATAAAAAACGATTTACCACTATAGTATCACTCGGTTCACCTAATTCTTTATTTAGGTGTTAATTATATACTTATATAATTAATAATATAATAAATTTAAGTTTGTGGAAGTTTATAGAATAAAGTTCGTAAGTACCCCGACATGTATTCTAAATTAAAGTAAATACTATAATAATGCTATAATGTAAATAAATAATAGTTTTTTATGAGTTTAACACATAAATAAGATATTACCGTTGAAAATAATAAATTGTAATATAATACATCAAATATTGCTATAATTTATACGTAAATTTTAAAAGCACATATCGGTGACTTTGTGACTATATATATGCTGAGTTTATTTTATACTACGTCTAATTTGATATTATTGGCATACCTTAAGTTATATTAAATCATATGTTTAACTAGTTTGAATAGGACGTATACATAATTTCTTTTCACACTTTAATTTTTACTCACTTAATATTTCTATTTTAACTTACTTTTCACTTCTGAAATGTGTGTGATGGAGGATTAATTTTTTACTCAGTTACGAAACTGTACTTATATTCGAAATACCTACATATCAACTATTAAATTATTTGGAGCAAAAGCGAACAAAAAACGCACTATTCCTAATGGGGATACATTAGAATATTTATGTTTCATCAAATATA